TCCAGGAAAAAAGTGGGGAGGGATCATCAGGGCCCCTATGCAAAGGAACATCCTTTTTTAAAAAAAGAGAGCAAGTTGGTCATTGAATCAGCCTGAGTCTCACTTTCCTAATAGATGAGGGTCACCAAAAGGCACTCTCCTGAAAGCTAAGGGAACAACCCTGCACCCACTGCAGGCAGTGGGAGTTTTGCTATTGACGTTAGTGGGATTGGGCCCTAAATCCTCAATATTATCAGCCCTGGAGTGGCTGTAGTACCCTCCATTTAGGGGATGGAAGAAATGATGACGGGGACCCAAAGAGATGGTCTTGAAGCCAGAACTGATCCTGGGCATCTAGTAGAATTTAAGTCCATAGTAAAAGGCGCTACTCCAACACAGGAAGCTGCACAGCAGCGGCAGAGGCCAGGCCTGGGGCAATCACCCTTTAGTTCAGCCCTTCCATTGCTCTCATTCCCCCCTCTGTGTCTGCAATCCTGAAGCCCTCACTCATGCAAACCTCCCATTCATCTCAAACAACAGCAGCAATGCCTGAACAGGACCCCCAAGAACAGGCTCCACATAGGACAGAGAGAAGTTCATTGGAAAGCCACTCACTGTATGGAATAAGAGTAAGGTATTCAAGGTACCATAATTTCTCTGCACACAAAGCTCCCCAAGCCTTTTCAGATAAGACCAATGGCCTTCCCCTTAGGAGTGGAAGTGGCTGTGTTCCTTGGCAGGGCTACAGTAGCAATATTTTCAATAACCTTGTCTCTGTCCTGTCCCTTTGCTTTCATTGCACTGTTTTATTTTACAAAAGAAAAGGGAGGCAAAGAATGTGGTGTTGAGCCCGCGCCCGTGAGGTGAAGGCAGCGAGGTCAAGTAAACACCGACACGATGTACGCAATCCTGCCTTGGAGTGAAAGGCCTTCAATTGTTCTGCGTTGATCTTCTCTTCCTGTTTCACAGGGGACTAGTCACTGCTCAGTGCACACGAGGCAATTGTTGAGTCTACAAAGCAGCCAACAATCTTACCGCCAAGAAGTGGGGGTAAGGCTGATAGAGCTTCCTGGAATTTTATACAGAACTCAAGGGCCAGATCCTCAGTTGGGGTAAATCAGCCCCGCTCCATTTAAGTCATGGGGGCCGACATACGCCAGCTGAAGATCTGTCCTAAGGTGATGAAAGGTGGTTAAAGTCCTGTAGCGAAAGATTTTGCCTCAGTTCCCACTAACAGAGCACTGACCTGTGGTGAAACCACTTGTATCTCTCTGAGCTCCTCACACCAAGACACAAAATTGTGTCTTGACTAAACAGAGGACACAGAGAGAGTAGGTGACAGAGTCAGGAACATAACTCAGAACTTCTGGTTCCTAATCTTGTGCTCTACCAGTATGGTCCAACTAGCAACATCCTCTGCTTCCTGGATGTCCTTAGGAGCCATGTTTCCCTTGTTTACCTCTCCCTTTCTCCAACCCACCAGCACGTTCAAAGCTGTTCACATGCAGTCACTGTTCTCTTTAGGAAGCACTGGGTGGGATAGTTTTTGTTGTTCTTTGCTTGCCTGGAGGGGTTCTGCTGAGTGACACAAGCAGTCCCCATGGGCTGAGCTCATTGTCTGCATAGCCTTCCCAGCCCCCTGCTGAAGGCGGCTGTCATTGGTACAACGCTGAAATAATCACATTTTCAAAGGGACGAGATGTACCACAGAACCACTTTCTGATATTGCTATAATGGGTCAAAAGTTCATCTCCACTGATCTCACGAGCGGCACCTGGGGGCGTCTAGCTAACATCTTCTAATGTGACATTCTGTCAGAGGTCATTGTTTCACATTACAGCTTCAGGAGATATTTGAGGGGCAAACTTTCACATGGGAAATAAATGTACAAGTCCTTTAAACAAGTACATTTTTGCAGTGCCACAGTCCTTTGCATTATATAATTGTTTTAAATGACAACACAGATCTTTTTAAACAATGCTGCGCTGGTCCCCACAGTGAACTACTTTGGACAGCTTTAGAAGGGACCGAATACAGCGTGCCTCATTGACAAGGGGCAGAGCTGAAAGCATAGGCACACAGAACTGACTGGTATGGAAATCCCAAAGGGGCAAATCACTTTGTAAATCACTGTAGTTTGTGCATTACACACCAGGCACTGGAGAGCCGGCCCTACATTCTGCAGCAAAGGCCTTAGATCCTACAGTGCTGTGATGGAAATACTGCTGTCCTTTGTTTCCCCATCCTTTCTGTTCCTGGTTTATTTAGAATGACAGCTTTTTGGGTCACTGATCTCAAATTCTTATTTGTTCTCTCTTTCACTACCTAGCACACTGTTGGTGCTGTTTCAATAGCAAATAAAACAATAACGTTCCAAGAGCATTTAATTAATAAATAATATATCCTCTCTTTGGGCATCATATCCCGTATTGACAAGGAGATGGAATAGATGGTAATAATTGTTTTTTCATTGCTTGTAGGTCTGTTTAAATTCAGTGGGACTTGAGGGAGCTAAGTGCTTAGAATGATGGACTCATTAGTTCGCGTGACTGAGTGATCCTAATAATTAATATTTGTTCCATGCACCAGAGAAAGGCGACATTAAACCCTGGACTAGATCCTCCACTGGTGTAAATCAGGACAAGTCCACTGAAGTCATTGGAGCATTGGTGATTTACACTAACTAAGGCTATAGCCCCCTATAATCATCATATTCAACTTTAAGAGGAGGCTGAGGAAAGAGCATTCTTTTTAAATATTTGTTCCCAAAATTAGATCTCTTACACATTAAAATTTTGTAACTACAGCAATAATAGGAGACAGTGTGGCCTAGTGGCTAGAGCACTGGCATACTACTCAAGCAACCCATGTTCTAATCCCAGTTCTGCTACTTGCCTGCTGAGTATCCTTGGTCAAGTCGCTTCACCCCCCCCTCAGGTTTCCAATCTGTAAAATGGGAATAATGGTGCTGACCTCCTGTGAGATCTACTGAGGATAAGAGCTAGGTGTTATAACCATCCCAGCCATACAATTCTCTTCCTCTCCCACACATGCAGAAGGATTAGTGTATCTGAAAATAGTAGGACACTTCAGATCATGGTGATTTAATTGGATTTATTGGAGGAAAACAATTAATCATCCCTTTCACTTATCATTATGATAGAAATCTCGATATGTATACATGATTGTCAAGGCAGAGAATCATTTGCGACATAGCCCCATTAACAATTTGCAGGTTCGCAAACCCATTACGCAGGTTAAACTTTTTGCAATGCCTTAGTACATGCATGGAGTAAATACACTATTTCCCTTCATTTGGACAAGGATGTTGTTATGAAATTGTATCAATCACAAGACCTGTAATATTAGGCACACTGACATTCCTGGATTAAAATTGTAAGCTTTTTTTTCTCTTTTTGTTAATAAAACATGCTCGCATCTTTGTAAAAATAAACCAAGAGATGTTTTGCAGTCGAGTGCTATTTCGGGAATCCTCCCCAAATTTCCCTTTGGGCAGGCTGGGCTTTTTTTGTCCCAAGCCAAATGTTAAAAATAAATAAAATGCAGAAATGCTGCTTCCCACCCAGAAGCAAAGACTCAGAGAGAAACGTCACTGGCCCGGATGAGCAGAAACATGAATCACCTAGTAACTCACTCTGAGCTGATTAACTGGTCCGATGTTCTACTCAAGTCTGTGGGATGTCAGGGCTGCAGAAGCTGGGCATGAATAAAGAGGTGGTAAATACTGACCTGGCTTTCTCACCTAGGGCAAGATTCAGCCCTTGCGACCCCAGGCTATGCTTGGTGGGTGTAGAGGGTGATGCAGGAGGGATTCTGACTGAGGACTTCCTCTGTGTGCACAGCACAGCAGCACCTCTGTCTCCTTTGGGCCCTGATTCCACAAAGCACGTAAGCACATGCTTACCTTTAGGGCACACAAGTTCTGTTGACTCCAGTGAGACTGATGTGCTTGGAGTTCTTTGCTGAATTGAGACTTTGCAGAAGGCGTAGCATGCTGCCCACTGCTTTGTGGGCTGATGCGGACGGCAGGGCCATAGCAGAACCATTCCCTGTCACCCCTCCGTGTACCCTGTCAGCCAGCGGGAAGAGCAACTCCTGCTTCATCCTTGTGATGCTAACCCCAAAAGCATGGAGGAGGGAGGGATTATGCTTTCCGGTGAGATTCTAGTCAGCCACTGTGCAGGGCTGCAAGGGTAGGAGAAACTAGCTCTCAAACTAGCTAGAAGGTTTTAAATTCACTCCCTACATCACCTTGGCCTTACTTTTGCTGAAATTCCCCTGCCAAGCATGCTGCTTCCAGGGAAATTGATTGTGAAGGAATGACTGAACCCATCTTCCTACTGGCAAGCAATTTCCTAGCTCTCAGCTGGCTCCCTTTGTGGATTTTGAGCTTTCAGTAATGTCCGACTCTTCTGTAATATAAACAGCAAACATTGAGCAATCAGGCAAATTGCGCTCTCAGCTGATTAGTTGAGTGGGGTTCCAGCATTGATACTGAGAGCTCTGTATGACCTCCTCTCTCTTGTCCAGCCTCAGAAAAAGAAATCACGAGTCAAAATGATTCGCAGAGACCGATCAGCAGAAGAGAAGACGAGAATCATTTCCAGGTAGTACAGGAAATAGGGTTGAAGTCTTTTGTTGATAAATACAGACTTGAATGCCTGGAGCGCAATGGGTTAAATGCAACTGAAAAAAATAAAGAGTTCTGACACTTGATGCTTTAGGAACAACATGACTAAGATATTCAGCGGCTGGCTTGGTCCACAGCAACAGAATATTCTGCAACAGATCTGCAAAAGCCAAATTCCAAGAGCTTCTCAGGAAAAGGCGGAAAATATAAATTGACTTAGCCTACATTCCAGTCTAAGTTTTGCTGTTATCTTCAAGCGCAGAGACATAGATATAACTAACATGTTTGCTTGGCAGCCCTCGCTGTGCAGTAAATCCAGTACAAGGGATTTTAATGGTAGATAATTGTTTTTAAGCATACGTGAAAACAAAACAAAAAAGTTTTGATTTCCCTGAACCAAGACAGGTGAAACTGACGGGTGCATAGAATGAAGCCGCTCTAGACAGAGATCTTCCCTTAAAAACTGCACAGCATTTAGTAAAAGGACAAAATACATTCTCAGGCTTTGCAGTGTTTTGTTCACAAAACGTCAGCTTTTGCAGTTAGCGCTAGGTAATGATGGATTTCGAGTTACAGATACATATAGTCATTTCAAAACCAAACTTAAAAGAAACCCCAGGGGACTGGGTCCAGGATGTGTTTACAGCAAAGGCTTGGGAAATGTAGAAATAGTACAATTTAATACATGCAGTGCAGTATCGTGCATTAATTGGACATTTTCATGTCATTGTGAGTTTAGCAGTGATTTTCACGACACTCAGGGCACACGCCCTGTTTTCCCTCTCTATCCTGGAAAAATGTAGGCACTGTGAATCTGACCATGCTAATAGAAACCAAAGATCAATGCACTGATCAGCTGTTTTGTTAGGTGGAGTCCTGAAAAATAACATCTGAGATTAAGACACTCGTATGCTTAATTACAAATGTAATTTATATGGATACAATCCTAAATGAAGCCAGAAAAGGAATTTATGTCTTAGGACAAACTTTTAAATATCTGTGAAATCTGTATAAAATAAGTAATCACACCAAGGGAATATTGCACACACAATAAAGAAATTGTCTAGTAGACATGAATCTAAGGGTAAGATACAACTGTACTGGAAATTTGGGATAATTTACAGGGATCACATAAAACTGCTGCTGGGTGAATAATCTTCTATTGAATAATTCACCAAATGAATTTTTGTTCACCAAATGTCTATGAGCAGATTGCAATTCCCTCATTTATCTGTTACTTGAAATTACTGGCTGGATAATACTTTGCATTAGTGAGCATTCTGTTGCATTTGATTTTGATACTGTTTTGATTAGACGCACAAGTCACATGATAGGTTTCTGTCCTTTGAGTGGATGAGCATAATTCTTAGAATCAGATTTCTGGTTCAAATGGTCATGATAATGAAAGCAAAATTCCCTTCCCATGAATATTCTCTGGTATTTATTTAGGCCCAATTCAGCAAGGTACTTAAGCATGTGCGCAACTTGAAGAACATGAATAGTGCCATTGAACTGATGTATCTGCAGAAACAACACTTCGAAGCCCTAATTCAGAAGGTTCTTATGCATATGCCTAACTTTAAGCATGTGATGAATCCCATTAAAGTCAAATGGGAATCAAAGGTAGACATGTGTTTCTGTACCTCGCTGAACTGAGGTTCCATGGTCTCTCTCTGCAAACACTCTAGCCAGTAAATTGGTTCCCGGAATATCTGCAGAGAACAAACACAGAAGTCTAAATTCTGTTTGTAAATTCAGCCCAAGGTTTTGCAGTATTTGCCCAGCTCTGCTCAAGACAGAAGTTGTTGGTTAATGGGGGTGGAAATGTTAGCACAGGTTTCACTGAATCTGACAAATACAGATCCACTTCCCCATTCACTTTTGTTCAGAATGTTCTCACTGCTTGCTAATGACTAAAGCTATTTGGGCTCGAACCGGGGCTTGTTTCCTCCTGGCTCATCTGCTCTTCCTGCTTCATCCTGCAGTGCAGGATACACACCCCCAACGCCCTCCCTGCAGGCCTGGAAGGCCCTGATTCAGTGGGAAGGGTGTGATGCTGCAGTATACCATACCCCTTGTGCATCACACAACCCTGCACCATAGTTTGCAAAGGCTTTGGTAGGCAGGGGTGGGTTAGGGGAGAAGTCAGGCTAAGCCATTGGTCTGTAACCATGAAAACACATCTACAACTCTCTTCTATGGAGGAGGACTATACCAGTCACATGGTGTGTGGGTGGCATGGCAATGATTAAACTGATCCAATGCCACGCTGTCAATTTGCAAGGGTAAAACGCCTTTCTCCATGAGTTTCACCCCAGTGCTGAGATTCCCAGGACAAGCCCGAGCCACTCGAGTGCCATGATTTTTTCTATCGAGGTACTTGTATGGCCCCTTCTCATGGTGATGTCCAGATTTGTCTCCTAATGCTTCATTTGTGACATTACAATGACCACCAGGGCAACTGACTGCGATGTCATAAACATGGGATTCTGCTGTCACTGAAGGATCAGGCAGAAAAGGGGGGAAATAAACCAGGGCTGTGAAGGAGAGAAACTTGTTATAGATACAACTGTTGTCAACAATAGCAAAGCAAACCCAGGAAATACATGGATCAGAGGATATCCCTCCTCTTTTTTCAAGCTGACTTCAATGTTAAAAGTCCCCATTTAATTTCTGTTTTCAGAACCACCTAAAAATCATTTTCCACACGGAATACACATTACATGATCATTTAATCCTTATCAGCAGCGAATCAGTGTCTACTATTGTATTTTTTTAAATTTCAGTCCACTATACTAACAGACAAACTAGAAGAAGGTGAAATAATAAAGCTTTTCTGAACCGACTAGTTTGATGGCACCTGCATGATAGTGACCAATGCAGAAGAGACATTACCTGCCCAGAAATAACTAAAGCATAATCGGGGAGGGTGAGTTTCATTTTGCCACAGACAGTATTTTCCCATTCACCTGCCTCCTCACTAGCTGTGCTGCAGGGTCAATATCCAGTTTGTCTTTCAGGAGGTGATCCAGTGGGAAATCTAGGCTGCTTTAGGAATAAAAAGTCAACCGCAAAATCAGCAGTGTGTGGCATTGACACTGCAGAACTGACATTCAATCTCAGGAAGTTCCCAGGCAGCCTACAGTGGCCAGTCTCCTGCAGGCGACTGGTGTTAGCTGGGTTAGTTTTATGTTTTCCTGACAAGAACATTGGTGTTGGTGTCACAGATGAGAACTGTGACTCTGGAGGTAACAATTGAACAATCGAGGCTGCAAGCAAAGACCAGAAGGAGGGAGTCCAGGAAAAAAAAGTTAACAAATCACAGTGGTGCCATTTAAACAAATAAAGCTAAGAGGAGCATAACTCACTCAGGGGCAAGTCTCCGAGATGGAGACCACATGCAATGAGTGAACCACTAATGGTTTGATGAGATGGCCCCTTGGAAAATAACCAGCTGTGCTTTCTTATGATACCTCACACCCACCTGCACTGGTTACATACTGTTCGTTTTTACACTCATTCATAACACTGGTTTAGAACTCAACTGGCAGGCCAGGCTGGGGTGTAGTCTGCCGAGTTACACCTGTCGCTAGACGTGCGGGGGTGTAAGTTGAAAAGATTTGGCTCTGAAGAGGGATAGATCCGTAGTGAATCAATGACAGTAAAAATCTCCGCTCTCTCCTCCCCACAAATACCTGTCAGATCGCCAGCCACAGTTCTTGAGAAACAAAAGCTTTCCATCTCCTCGACTTCTGGCAGAAAGAAACGTTTTACTTTTAACTTCTTCTGATCCTTTTCTTAAGGTACTAATCCGAATAGAGCGATAATAAAATGATCCAATTCTTGTGGAATACCAGCAACATTAAGACAAATCTAATTTCCAGTCTAGAATGAAATGGAAACTATTGTAAAGCCACAGCTAAATTTGACACTATTCGCATCCAGCATGGAGGTATTGTAGACATACTGGACTGTGGCAGAAAATTAACCAAACATCAATTGAGGGAGTGCGCTCTTGCAACGGACTCGCCTTTCTGTATGGCACTCCTCTTTATTTTGCAGAAGGAAAACATTTATTTTTGCAAGACAGATTTGAACTGGGCCATATTCTGATTATTGTTATAAGCAATTAAATCAAAATCAGAAACTTCAGTCTGATGTTAGAAGAGAATGCAAACAGGGGCTGCTTGAGCTTCACTTTATATGCAGCAGCATATTCAGGAAAGCGCCATCGGCCAAATTCTGGGTTAAACCAGTGTAAATGTGGTGTAAATCCACTGACTCAAAATCAAGTTACTTCATATTTACACAGGTGCAACTGAGATCAGAATTTATTGGGCCAACTGAATTTATTTGGAAGATGAAGTTCTGAGATAAGTTAAGGCTTTTAGGGCCTTATTATGACTTAAATGAAGGTCCCTTTACACCAGTCCGGCAGCATAAATAGGTCTTATAGTGGCATAAATTGCATTAACAGCCACTTTAACCCCCATTTACACTGCCAGAGAGATGGCAAGAGACCTTAGTATGAATATGAATAAGGCCCTAAATGAAAAACACTGTATGTCAGGGGGCACACTCCAGTTTTAGATAATGTAGGATTTTGGATAAGAGGGGCTCAGCTCAACAAGGTCCCCCAGCATTGACTGCTGTTCCTGTCTACCAAATCTGGGGCAGAATTCTGCATCACTGAAGCCAACGGGAATTTTACCGCTGACTTCAATGAGACCAGTATCAGGCATTTGAACGTGTTTCTTAGAAATTAATGGCTGTGGCTTTTTGATTTTGCTTTGAGAATGGAGCCAAATAACCTCTTTGAAGAGCAATTACTCTATTAAAAACCGAGCATGCATATCAGTGCTCTGGTATGTCACTGTCACATGTTGGTTCAGATCCTCGGCTGGTGAAAATCGGAGTAGTTCGACTGACTTCAATGGAATGACGCCACTTGACATTGGCTGGGGATCTGGCCCATTATGTCAGAGACTGGCTGCATCTGTGAGGTTTTACAAGGTGATATAGTGGAGTGTCAGATATCCACAGTGGAAAGTCAGATGCACACAAGTGTTTTATGGAGTTCACATTAAATCATTATAGTTTGAATGTCTGTGCTAGGCACAATATGATATGGGGTTGTTGGGAACCTCTGGGGGAAACTGGTTAAATCATACTCCAAATCTCCAGACTGAAAATGGTGCACAGATTAATACTGACTCAACCGAGATCTATTATATGTAATATCTTTATGAGCGGCTAGTGCAATGACATCTTTGTAAAGAGCTAGCACTATGTACCACCTGGTTTTCTTGAAATCCTGACTCCTCTGAAGCTAATGGCCAAACTCCCACTGACTTCAATAGGGGCAGGATTTCACCTTACATCTTTGACATCTCAATGAAAAGTAAATGTCATGGCTTTTCTTAGCATGTTCCCTACGGCCATATACATTCAGATGTGTCTGTGACTGGTTCATCTAATTCTTTACAGACAATAACTGACGTGGATGTGGCAACAGAATCGTTTAAGGAAAAATGATTCCTGCCTCCCTGTGGAGATGGCTGTATTTGGGGTGTAGGGAGCTAGTAATAGCTTAAATGTGCCTCAGTTTCATCAACTCCCCTTCTACCTTTTCTCCTCCTAGCAGAAAAATCAAAGCTGGGAATGACTTGTAGAGATCTGGTCACGTCTCACAAGGTTTGTAAGTGCGGTGATCTCTGAACTCTGCCTTCTCTTCTGTTCCAGGATATTTAAAACATTTATGATAAAGCAGTGACAGTGCCCGTTTTTTGCCTTTTCTATGCTTGCGGTGGCGTATAGGGCACAGGTAGCTTATACACCACAATGAAAGGCAGGCTGCGTCCACATTGCAGTGAGTAGCATTATCACCACTTTACAGATGGGGAAACTGAGGCACGGCATTTTTTTTTTAAAAAGGCCAAAACTTTCAATAATGCTTTCTGATTTTTGGTGCCCAGCTTGGGGCACTTGGGGCCTAGCTCTGAGCCACCAATAACTTCAGCTGAGGTCAATGGGTTGCAGTGCTCACCAGCTCTCAATTAGCAGGCCCCAAACTGGAGGTACTCAAAATCAGAGGCCACATTTGAAGTTTTTGACCTTGGGCAGTGACTTGCCCAAAGCTCAAGCAACAAGGTAGGGGCAGACATGGGAATAGAACCCAGGCTCTCCTGACTCCTAGTTATGTGGCCGCACTGATGGACCACAAAGGGTTTAACCAAGGAATAAGAGCTGCAGGATGAAGCATTAAATCATTTTCCACATGCTTGCTGAACTAAGGGCCACTCCCGTCAAAGTCAATGAATGTTACAGGTTCACAGCACGTCCTGATGGGTTGTTTTCCATCAACTCTCACCATTGTTTGCAAGAAGGAGGAAGAGAGGGAAAGCAGATTGTTTGAGTGTAATGGCACTGCTAGATCCAGACAGGTGTACAGTCCAATTTTAGGAATTAAAAACGGCATGCATGCCTTTGAAACCCTCCCGTTTTGGAAGGTCAATGCAAATCTCTACCGACAGAAGTAACCTATCCCTCAGCAAACTGGAAGGAGGGATGCAACTGGAAGTACTTGCTAAAAGAAAAAAAAAGTCTATTTCTCAAAAATTATCTCTATTTAAATAATCCAGCCGAGACCTTTTTAGTTAATGGAAAAAAATACAACATATACTGTTACCTACACGGAGAAGAGAGTAAATCACCGGGAAAAAGAATGCGCGTCTGTTAGTTAGAACATTGCTAGACTCATATATACAGCACCAGAGACTGTTAAATCCGTTCCCCCTGGAGTCATTGCAGTTTGTGCTAAATGAAACATTTCAGAATTGCAGTATAAAATATGGCCATAAAAAATCTTCTCTCTTCTAGTCCTTCGCCGAGTGCACAATGCAGGATGAAATCACTCGGAGTAGGTACGCTCGATATGATGGCTTTCCCGTCTCTATCCTCCTCTGCTGATCACTTGCTCCCCGTGTGCACTGTTGTTACTGTGGTTGGCCTGGGTCTCCGTTCTCCTCCTACTGCAGAAATACCCGAAGAAGCAGATGAAGCAAAACTACAGAGAGCAGATGGGGACATACCTAAAAGGAAAGCCAGAAAAACAGATGAGCAAACTGTTAGAATGCTGATTTGCTGAGCCAGAAATGACCAGGGTCATTCTATAAAGTGGAGAGGAAATAGTCACTGGAAGGATAACCAGAATGGTTTTCCCATTTTTCCTGCTGCGATGAAGTAGCAGCTGTGGATTCATTGGGGCCATATTCTCCCCACTGTTCCATGTGCAGTTTCTCCCATCAATATCAATAGGAGTTTCATGCATGGATCATGAAGAGAACATGCCCAATTACGGTACCCATTTAGTTACAATGGTGCTATATTTTTTAATTGGCGACTCGTATCTTTTATAATAAAGAGTTTTCTGATTTTAAAAAGCCCTCCAGAATTGTACTAATCCCCCAGATTTACACAGACATCTGCACTAGGGATGGTCAAAACTGTTCTCCTGAAACTGTTTTTTGGATTGAAAATTGTTTTTTTGGATACATTTTTTGTGAAAAGTGTCTGCTTTCCACAAAAACCTCAATATTCGGTCAAAAAAAATGAACACCCAAACCCCAAAATGTTTCAGTTGAAAGCCCAAATATTTTGCCTGAAAAATGAAATATTTTGGTTTTTGATATTTCAACCAAAAGTCAGAAAACTCTACAGAAAATTACAATGAAAACAAAGAACAACAAATTTTGTCAAAAATTTCCACAAACCCGACCCCCTATTTTCTGACCGATTCTAATATGCACTTCAACTTCAAACAGATTTTGTACCCAGAAACGGCCAAGGTTGGCTCTGTACGTGGTTCATGACTGCACATCACATGGTGAAACTCTGTTAGTGATGACGGTAACTAACAATGTGTTCCCGCTGTCAGAGGCCTGGGCTGCCGCACAGCAGTTTTCCTGGTACTGGTTCAGCACACAGGATTTTTGCAATGCAAACAGGATGTCCTAAGTATGTTTGTGTAATTGGTTTAGCCAGTCCTCTCTTCCCATCCTGTTTTCTGTCTGTCAGAAACTCCCAGAGTGCATTGCACCACACGCTGCTGATGGTACTCTCTGTGCATGTCCACTGATGCTCTAGTCTATCCTCTGCTAAGGCACTGGGATACCTGCCCAGATTTTCCCTGTGGGCACCAGTACAACCATAGTTAGGCAGCATGAGATACAGATGCACAAACTAGCTGTGGTGTTAGAAAGGCTGCTGAACGGTAAGCAGCTAAGGTGACTGTGCCCTAACCAGATACAAAATCACAGTTAAGAGCATTAGGGTCAGATTCTCTCATCTGCTCAAGGACCAGAGGGTGGGTCAATTGACGTGGTTTAAAGTCACATTTACATTCCCTCCATCCTGAGACCGACCCCCAGTATAAACAGCCTGAAGCCTGCTACAAGTTTTGCTCAGGTGCCCCCTAGCCAAAAGGACATTCCAGCATCTGGGGATCGCTTGGGTGTAAAGATATCCCAGCCACATCCCCTTTTCCAGCACCGTGGAGACCTGCTATTCTGACTGTGCACTGTAATCCCATACGTTTCCCCCGACACAAGAAGGAATCCCCAGAGATCCAGAGATCCTGGCTTTATGGAAGCTCTACACTGCTTGAGCAGCATAAAGCAGCCAGACAGGGCTAAGAGTCTGGCCCATATCCTGGGCAGGGTCTAATTTACTTATTTAGATTCACACCTCCTTTACCGACATGTAATTTATACCATCCTAATTCAGCACCGCTGAGTTAGCCTCATGTCCTCACACAAGTAGGAGAGAATTAGAATGTACCCTGGAAAATCTAGTCTCAGACTATTGTCGCCCCGGCCGCGCTTCATCAGTGTTGAAACTATTACAGCACAAATATCAATGTGCAGAGGGCCAATATATTTTGTGACAGCATAACATTTACTATTAATGGTATTAATCAGTATTAAAAATCTTAGCACTGACAGCAGTTGCTTTATGTAGCTCGCCATTCAGTCACAGCTGCTTGTTACGTCGAGCACTGCCGTCTGAATAATAAGATACATTCCAATAACGGAGCCGCATAATTGGCTTCATTGTTGTATAATTGTTAATAAGCATCTCTTGATGCTGAAGGGCAGCATCTGTAGAACTCTGGGCCCCGTTTCTTTTCTTCCCCTCCCCCTCTAGCTGACGTTCTCTAAAATAAAATTAAGTTTGAAAAATGTGAAGATGAAAGTGATGGCCACGGCGTGACAGAACCTGTACAGCTAGCACGGCTTTCCCCCAAATCCCAACAGAGAGCTGACTTTGGAGGCACTACTTGAGAGGCACTGTTTGAAACAAGACTGGTCAGTGGGTTGAAGTGAGACTAACCTGTTACACTGGCTGGCAATGAACTAAAGGTTGGTTGCAGTGAATAGCTCGCATGCTCCTCTTGTTGTATAGAGTAAAAGCCATTCACCTGAGTGAAGTTATTCCTGATCCATGTGAGGGAAAGTGAAAGGGGAATGAAGCCCCATATCTGTGAAGCAGGAAGAACCTGGGTTTTCTTTAGTCACTCACTTAGTGTGGGACCATGGGCACGTCACTTGACCTACTACATCTATCTGCAGCTGTGCAGTACTTTTCCCATGTAAGAAATTCTTTCCCAAATGAAACTAAAGAGGAAGAAGGAGGCAGGAAAGAGCTCTTCAGAGATATTCCTTTTTCCCAGGACCCAGCTGATCTGCAGATTGTATTGGATGTATAAACTTTCCCTTATTTTCATGAGTTGTATTTGCAGTTCCTTTGGGATTCTACCACTACTTGCTGCATTCCCCCTAACTGTTCTCTTTAATTTACTGCGTATTCACTAGTAAGATCTCTCATTGTGTTCAGTTTGGGATGCTAGGGAATCTTGCCGTTCTTTTCTGCCTTAAATTCCAGGTGACGTACAAACATACCCAGCTCAGCATGTCTGGTCCACTCTTAATGTCCTTGGCTGCTTAATCCATCATTCTGCAACATTCCACTGCCAGATATTGTACTGGGCTATCTTAGCATTTGTAACAGCTGTAAGTGGATTTTGTTCTTGTTCTCATCCTCCCCTTCACCACCCCTTGTAAACAGTGATTTCCTCATTATAATAATCAAAACCCATTTGAGGTCAGAAGCAGTGACAGTTTAATCTTCCATTATCTACAGTTAACAGTGAAATCAGCAATCAGATTCTCTGGGTCTAACTGACGTCCCGCATTTGTGTACTGTCCTCAAATTCAAAATGAAAACCTCAGATCTTCATGCAGCAGGCTCTCTGCTGCAGTCTACCATGGTGAGAATGTTTTAGCTCCACAGTAGAAGTGATTTGTAGATAAGAGGCATCATATTATTCATATGCGGGTGACAGTTGGGTGATTTAAGAAGACCACCTGGGAGAAAAGTAGTGCTTTCCTGTAAGTTGCTGGAGCATGTGGAACTGGGCTAGAATGGTGTATTCCAGGCAAAAAGGTTTTAGTGTGATATATTTCCACCAATGAAGATTATCTGTATGAATCTCTACGGTGCCTGACATGCAAATGGAAAGGGCTCTGTTTTGGCTGACATTGCTTGAGTTGGGTGGGAGGAAGCAGAGGGGTTTGGCAGCAGTTGTAGTCCTTGCAGGCGTTCTGGCTGATGCAGCCGGAGTGTTTCCAAGGTGCTGGAGGGTGCGCACGCCAGAACGGGGGCTGTCACGTCTTTTAACTGAGTCCCTGTGTACTTCCTGGCATTCAGGAATGGAGTGGGGCAGGACTTTGCAAAGGGGCGCACCG